TATCACAGTAGACAATGGTTGCTTTGCGAGGGGGATGATGTAACTCACATAAAAGATTTCATAGCCAACAAGATTCCGAGACAACGTTTGCAACCCCTCGGTATTCGGCTTCGGCGCTCGATCTAGAAATAGTGGTCTGCCGTTTGGAGGACCAAGAAAGGAGATTGTTTCCCATAAAGATGCAGTATCCAGATGTCGAACGTCGGGTGTCGGGACAGCCCGCCCAATCAGCATCGATGTAGTATAAAAGTGATGTTGTGTTGGAGCCGGTAAGAGTTAAGCCATGATCTATTATGCCACAAATGTATCGAAGTATTCTTTTTAGATCCGTGAAATGGGGAACTCGAGGAGGATGCATGTGCATGCAAATTTGTTGAACTGCATAGCTAATCTCCGGGCGTGTAAAAGTGAGATATTGAAGGGCCCCTTCTAGCTGCCGAAATTCTGTCGGATTTTCCAAAAGTTCGTCGGTTTTGGCGCTAAGTTTTCCTGATGAGTCGACCGGTGCTGGAAGAGGTTTGCAATTTTCGAACCCTGCTCTTTTTAGAATTTCCGCAACATATTTTTGCTGTGAAAGGAACATCGAACCTATAGATTGGCGTGTGGCTGCAATACCCAGAAAAAAACTTAAGGGCCCAAGGTCTTTCATTGCAAACTCCTTGGCAAGGAGACCCATTAATTTATTTCGTAGAGAATTGGAGGATGTCATAAGAAGAATGTCATCCACGTATAACAATAGGTAGGCGGTATCACCTCCATGTCGGTAGATGAATAGTGAATGATCGGAGCGACTATGTTCACCCAATTTGGAAGGCGTATTCAGCGAACCTTTGATACCACGCTCTCGGGGCTTGTTTTAGGCCATACAAGGACTTCTTTAAAAGGCATACATGGTTGGGAAATTGTGTGTCGCGAAATCCCATTGGTTGATGCATATAAACTGTTTTATCCCAATGCCCGTGAAGAAAGAAGAAACGCGTTTTTGACATCTAATTGGTGAATTTGCCAAGATTGAGAGAGAGCAATGGTAAGCACGGTTCTAATGGTTTCTAGCTTGACCACCGGACTAAATGTTTCTCCACAATCCACGCCTACCTGTTGAGACCTCCCGTCACAAACTAACCGTGCCTTATATCTTTCCAATGTACCATCAGATTTCATTTTGTGGCGAAAAATCCACATACTTCGGACAATGTTCATGTGAGGATGTTTTGGAACAAGCTCCCATGTCTTATTGTCTATAAGTGCCCAGAATTCATCAAGCATGGCGTTCTTCCAATCCAAATTGTCTAAGGCTTCGGTTGGGTTTTTGGGAATGGGAGTGATAAGAGTGGAGGCATGGAGGTTAAGGTTACATTTAGGTTTGGAGATGTCGGACATGCTATGGGTTTTTATAGTACGGGTAGGAATATTGGAGGTGATGATGGGTTCGGTGGTGTTGGTGGTTTCTGTGGTGTTGATGGGTTTTGGGATGGTCTCGGTGGTGTTGGTGGTTCTGTGGTGTCTGAATGTCCAGGTTGTTTGGGGCGCTTGCTATAGGTGAATTGTATGAGAGGTTTGGGAAGTCTTGAAGGGGCTGGTGGTGTTGTTGGGTGGGGGGGCGATGTTGGAATAGTACCGGTGGGAGAACTAAGCCACGTTAGAGGGTGATGTGATTCATCGGTGAATATAGTGTAGTTAGGATGTAAAGAAGAGGAATGCTTAAAGGGAAAAGAATGTTCGTCAAATATGACATGGCAAGATGTAATGATTTTCTGTTTCGATGTATCGAAACACATGTACCCACGGTGGTCGGGTGGGTAACCGAGGAAGACACAAGGATGGGAGCGAGGTTGAAGTTTATGAATGGTTGTAGAGCTTAGGAGAGGGTAGAAAAGGCAACCGAAAACCCTTATGTGAGAGTATGAGGGATGACGATGGTAAAGTTTATGAGTGGGTGTGTCGGAAGAAAGCACTTTGGATGGAAGAATGTTGAGCAGATAGGTAGCATGGGAAAGAGCATAGTGCCAGAAGTAGGAAGGGACTTGGGAGTGTGATAGAATGGTCTGAATTATATTGTTTATGGACCGTATCTTTCTTTTTGATTTTCCATTTTGGGATGATGTATACGGACAAGAGAAACGGAAGTTGATGCCATGTTGAGAGGCAAACTCGTGGAAGAGTTTGTTGTCGTACTCCCTTCCGTTGTCACATTGTAGTGACTTGATATTTTTATTAAATTGTGTTTGTATAAGAGTATGAAATTTTCGAAAAATTGGGAAGACTTGTGATTTATGAGATAAGGGAAAAGTCCACAGAAAGTTTGTGTAATCATCCAAGAAAAGTAAATAATAACGATGACCACCAGATGAAAGTACCGAGGAGGTCCAAACATCACTATGTATAATATCAAATGGGGAAATAGTAAAAGAACTAGATGAATGAAAAGGTAATTTGATATGTTTACCCAAAACACATGGTTCACAAACATAAAATGACAATTTATTTTTAAAAGGAAAAGACAACGATTTATTTAAAGAGCTAAGGACATCAGCCCCGGGGTGATCCAAGCGATAGTGCCAAAGATCTCTTGTGATGGCTGCAAAAGTTGCTGGAGGAGTGGCGTCCATGTCCGCAAATCCTTCACATTAAAACCATAGGGGTAAAACTCAATAGAAATTTGGTTATCTTTTGTGAGTCTGCGGACAGAAACTAAATTTTTAATAAGATGAGGAACATGAAGAATATGGTTGAGTTTAAGAGGAGGGAAAGGTTGGGGTAAGGTGTGGTTACCGGTACCTTGGATTGGAAGATGCGCGCCATTACCTACAATGATATTCCTAAAAAGACCTTTATTGACATAAGAGGAGAGAATACCTGAGTTGTTTGTCATGTGGGAGGTGGTGCCTATATCCATGTACCAGTTCTGGTCTGGTGGGTGGAGGCTCATGGTATGAAATGCTTGTTCCAAATCAGTTGGGGTATAGGAATTTTCAGATGTTGCATATGCTTGCTGTGTAGAAGGTCTTGGACCCAACAAACCCGGAGCAATGGAGCGAGGATGGTTGGTTGGGTAGGGACAAGGTGGTGTGTGTGTAGGAGGCCACGAATATGGAGCAACCCAAGGTTGGGAGAAAGGAGATAAAGAGTGGGAAGTTGACCATTGTTGGGTGTAGGGAGCAGGCCACAGTGGTTGCTGTTGGCCACGACTCACACCGAAGTTACCGCCTCCCCTTCTCCCACGACCACGGCCACGTCCGCCCCTTGCACGGCCACGTCCCCTGTTGATGTTGCTGTTGTTGTTTGAATCTTGAACCTGGTAGGTAGGGCGTGTGTTGTTGGAGGTTTGAGTATTAAGAGATGTTGCATCAGTTGTAGCCGATTGGGCTGCATTATTAGCCTTTCTAGTTTCTTCTAGAATGAGGCGGGAACGAGCCTCATAGAAATCCGGGAGAGGTTTCGTTTGTTGTATCATCATGGCAATTCCTTCATAAGACTCGGTAAGACCAGCAATCAGTTGCAAGACAAGGCGCTGATTTGAAACCGGTGAACCCACGTTAGAAAGTTGATCAGATAACATCTTGAGGGCTTGACAGTATGCTGAACAGTTTGGGAAGTTTGCAAGTTTGGTGGTGACCAGTTTGTGTTCAAGATAGAGTGCACGTTCGTTTTGATTATCTTGAAAAATACTTTCAAGGGCAATCCAAGCTTGAGCAGCGGTGGAGTTGGGTTTAAGAATGGTTTGGAGGAGGTCATTTGAGATGGTGCTGTATATCCATTGGATGACAATGGCATCAAGGCGACTCCAAAGATCAGTAGACATGACTGGAGGAGGTTGTTTGCCATCTACAGTAGCAGTGGATTCGGATTTAGGTTGAATGTGACCAATTACTTCAAATGCACGACAGTGAATCTTGAAGAGTTCAGCCCATGAGGTATATTGTGCATTCTCCATCTCGAGAGTGATCGGAATAAAGTTCCGAATGTTGGTGATCATGAGAGCAGGGTGAAGTTTTTCCGCCATGTAAGACACAGGTTGAAGGAGAATATAGAGGAGAAAGACAGAACAGAAATATAAATCGCAGGTTTGAAGAAGATAGAAAAGAAGAAGGCTGCGATTAGGGTTGGATGTAGGTGTGCTCTGATACCATGAAAGTTGATAAAATCTTCCGTGTCTTATTCCCCAATCTCAATGGTATTTATAATACAAGAATAGTTGACCTAATCTAAGTTAGGAAAATATTTACAAAATAATTTCAGCATTATACAAAATATATGGCTAATATAAAAATATATAGCTAATACTTATCACATTATGGTGCAAGTTCTTTTGTCAAGGCACGAGTTTTTTTTCTTAGTCGGGATTGAAACAATTCGCTTTTTATTAACTTTTTCATATTAGATGTTGTTATAAATATTTTAAACTTAATATATTTTATATAATTCTATAGTTATATGATTTATCTTTTTTTAATGTACATAAAATTGTCATACTTTAAAAACCATCTTGGCTCCTAATGTACATAAAATTGTCATACTTTAAAAACCATCTTGGCTCCAAAGGGCTTGTCATGACTTGATCTTTTTTAATGTACCCCCCCCTTAATTTGTTTTGTTAGAAATAGCCCTGTACTTTAATTTTATACATATTAATCCCAAAAATATAAAACTTTGGCTATGCCCCTTGTTCACCGACTTTTATACGTATTATATTTTCGGCTCCAATCAAATGTTGAAGTTCCGCCCCTGGACCTTGCCGCCACGTTCAAACCTTTTGAAATCGTAGGTTACCGTGTGTATGCAACTAATTTCTCCAATATTATTATTTTTTAAAAGATTTTAGTCAATAGTATAAGTCATAACTTTGTTATTTAACCGCGTGGGTCATTGTTGAATATTCATAGGCTCCTGGATTTGAAGTTTGAAAAAGAATATTAAACTATAAAAGCACTCCACTTGGAAACTATATATTTGGAACGTACTATATGAAGCTTTTCTCTCACACATCATAAATACAAAGAATGAATTCGTTATTAATGGAGAAGAGTGTTATCGTCGATATATTTTTGCTTCTGCTTGCTACAATTTCCCTTTTACCCCTTGTAGCTTACGGTTTCACTGATGAAGTCGCTGCTCTTCTTAAATGGAAAGCTAGCCTGCAACTAGAAAACAATAATGAAGTATTATCTTCATGGGTATCTCCTCTTCCCAACAGTCAAAACGCTCAAACAATGGCAACTATGTTTTGGTGCACTTGGTATGGCGTTTCGTGCAATTCTGATGGAAGCGTGACCAAATTGAACCTCTCATCCTCGGGATTAACTGGTACTCTAAATAGCTTCACGTTTTCATCATTTCCCAACCTTACATATTTTGAACTAAGCCAGAACAATTTTTCTGGGATCATCCCAGCTGGGATCAGTAACCTGTCCAAACTTGTTTATCTTCATTTTGATTCTAATCATTTTTCCAGCATGATACCTCCAGAAATTGGACTCTTGGCAAATCTTGAGACGCTTCACTTGCTTGAAAATGAGTTAATAGGTTCAATTCCACATGAGATATGCAATATGAAGTTTCTTTCTGAGCTTGCTTTGTATGCCAATGCTCTTACTGGTGCCATTCCCTTCTGTCTAGGTAACATGACCAACCTCAGTTATCTATTTCTCAATGATAACAAACTCGTGGGTTCCATTCCTTATGTATTAGGAAACCTCTCAAATTTAAGTGAGCTGCATTTGCAGAACAATTCTCTAACCGGGACCATTCCAAACTCTCTTGGAAATCTGAGCAATCTGACTATATTAAATCTGTTTCGCAATCGGATACATGGCCCCATTCCTCCTGAAATAGGTAGTTTGAGTTCGCTTCAATGGCTAAATCTTAACGATAATTTTCTCACAGGTTCAATCCCGAATTCTTTAGGTCGTCTTCAATCCCTTACCCTTCTGCGTCTCTATTCGAACAACCTTTCTGGTCCAATTCCCGAAGAGTTTGGAAACATGATATCCCTCGTCAGGCTGCAAGTAAGTTATAATCTCCTCAATGGTTCCATTCCAAAGTCATTTGGTAACCTCCTAAATTTACAGAGTTTGTATCTTAGAAATAACCAATTTTCTGGTCCTCTTCCACAAGAGTTGGGAAATCTCAAGTTTGTTGTGCTTGAACTTTCAGAAAATAAATTTTCAGGTTCTTTACCAGATAATATATGTAATGGAAGGAGATTAGAGTTGTTGCTTGTAAGTCAAAATAAACTCACAGGCACAATGCCCAAGAGCTTGTATAACTGTACAAGTCTAGTTAGAGTACGGTTCGATGGAAACCAGGTCACTGGAAATATATCCGAAATATTTGGTGTTTACCCTCACCTCCGATTCATCAATCTCAACGACAACAAGGTTTATGGGGAACTTTCTGACAACTGGAGTAAATGCAAAAATTTGACCACGATGCAACTTGGAGGAAATGATATCAGTGGTAGCATACCTCCATCCCTTGGTAATTCTACTCAAATAGAAATGCTTAATCTTTCATTTAATCATTTGGTTGGGGAGATCCCAATGGAATTTGTGACGATGAATCGCTTATTGAATCTGGTTTTAAGCAGTAACCAGCTTTCGGGTTCACTACCTACAGAAATAGGATCACTAAGTGCACTCTCTCTCTTGGACCTATCTTTGAATAATTTTACAGGGCCCATCCCTTATACTTTTGGGAATTGCTTAAATCTCTTTCATGTCAACTTGTCAACCAACAAATTTACACATGAAATTCCAGTACAATTAGGGAAATTGTCGCACTTGTCAGTTCTTGATCTCAGTCGCAATTCATTCACTTCAAAGATACCATCACAAATTGCAAGTTTAAGTAGTTTAGAGAAGCTGAATCTCTCTCACAATAAACTCTCGGGCAATATCCCTAACTCCATGGAAGCAATGAATGCTTTGTGGAGCATTGACGTGTCCTACAATGAGTTGGAGGGTCCCATTCCCAACAGCAAAGGCTTTCTGAATACTTCTCTAAAAGGCTTACAAGGGAATAAAGGTTTGTGTGGTAACATCACTGGATTACAACAGTGCGACAACGATTTGATTGTGGAAAAGCATGATAAGAACAGAGGCCAAAAGCTTGCGCTTATTGTTTCACTCCCTCTACTCGGAGCACTTCTACTTCTTAGTATGTTCATTGGAATGGTGATCTTCTATCACCGAAGAAAGAAGCTGTCATCAACAAGACAGGTGGAAGAGGATCACGTCCTGGACTTCTTTTCCATATCAACTTTTAGCGGAAAGGAAGCATATGATGAAATCTTGAAGGTAACACAGGAGTTTAATGAAGCATATTGTATTGGAAAGGGAAGATGTGGAGCAGTGTACAGAGCAAAGTTGACATCAAATGAGATAGTTGCTGTTAAGAGAATTCATTCATCTTTGGATATGGTTGATCGTAATAGCTTTTTACGTGAGGTTAAGGCATTAACTGAAATAAGGCACAGGAATATTGTGAAGCTATATGGGTATTGTTTACATACAAAACATTCATTTTTGATTTATGAATACCTGGAAGGAGGTAACTTGTATGAAATGTTGAGGAAAGAAGCTACTCAAACTTTGGGATGGACCAAGAGAGTGAATATCATCAAAGGGGTGGCTAATGCTTTATCATATATGCACCATGACTGCTCACCTCCAATAGTTCATCGAGACATCTCGAGCAAAAATATTCTGCTGGACTTAGAGGGTGAAGCTTGTGTATCAGATTTTGGCACCTCCAAGATTTTGAATCCAAATTCATCCAATGAGAGTGCTCTTGCTGGAACATTTGGATACCTTGCACCAGGTTATGAATTTTTCATTTTCTTCTAGACATAAATTCAAGAAATCACAACTCATATATTCACTATGTACTATTTTTCCATTTGTTTTTCAGAACTTGCTTATACAATGAAGGTAACTGAAAAGTGTGATGTGTATAGTTTTGGGGTTCTAGCACTAGAAGTGATCAAAGGAGAACATCCAGGTGGTATCATTGCCTCTCTCTCAGATGGGAAGATGAAGAAGCTACAAGATATGGTTGATCAACACCTTCCAACCGTGTCGATAGAAATAAAGAAGGTGTTGACTAACGTTATAATTTTGGCAATAAGATGTTTGAATAATAATCCTGAAATGAGGCCAACAATGTATTATGTTTCCCAACAGATTTCAGAAGATTGTAAAGATTTTTTGTAAAATATTTAAGGATACAATAAGATGGGCAATTGTTACCTTTAGAATGTATTTAGCAAAAGGTGAACCAATATTGAAGTAAATAAACACTAAAATGTTCAAGGTATGTTCAAGGTTTTCACACAGAATTATTGAAGTAAATGAACACTAAATGTCTAAATAGGGGTTCTTAAAAAAAAACCCCAATGGTAAACATTTACATCAAGATCTACAAGTTGTTTACAAAAAATGTTTGTTTACTGAAGGAGGGGTGGTGGGTAAGGGAGGGGAAAGGAGGGGTGGTGGAAGGCAATGATGTTTATGGAGATTGAGGGGAGCTAATGATGATGAGGTGTATTAAGAGAGTTTGAGGGAAGAATAAGGGGAAAGAGAGTGACCGTGGTCGGAGATGGAGAGGTGGCGACTATGATGTTCATGGAGAGAGATGGGAGTTGGCGATGATGTGGTCTTGTGACAAAGGGAAAGGGATTACACCATGTTCTTGAATTTTTTTAAGGAATGAAAATGAAGGAACGGAGAGGAAAATCGTGTTTTTTAGCTTTCTTTTACGGAGAATAATGAAATGCGATCTCAAGTTTCATTTTCCCTTACAATCTATCATCCCATATGTGAGATGATTAGGAAAGAAAGGGATGGAAAGGAAATGTAGGGGTCCCCTCCCTGTCCTTTCTTTCAATTTCATTTCTTTCCCCTTAAATTTAAACTCGAAAATAGAGTGTTAGGTAAGAAGGGTTGAGACTTGCGCAAGAGGGGTAAATTCGAGAAGTCACAACTCATATATTCATTTAAGAACTTGCTTATACAATAAAGGTAACCAAAAAGTGTGACGTGTACAGTTTTGGGGTTCTATCCCTAGACTTGATCAAAGGAGAGCGCATAGGCCATATTATTGCCTCTCTCTTAGATGGGAAGGTGAAGCTACAAGATATAGGAGATTAACACATTTCAATAACAAAGATAAAGAATGTGATGACTAACGTTATAACTTTGGCAATAAGATGTTTGAATAATATCTTGAAATGAGGCCAAGAATGAAGTATGTTTTCTAAAAAGATTTCGGTAGATTTTTTGTAAAATATTTAAAGGTACCATAAGTCATAAGATGTGCAGTTGTTATCTTTAGTTTACATCCCCATGTGGGTTTGAGGTCGGGGTTTCAAACCCGGTAAAACACAATTTGTACGCCTCTTGCAAATATGCCCTATGTGTGGGAGAATTTTCCCTGGAAATCCCTCTGGTGGCTGGGTTTGCCCACTTTGCGGAGCTCGAACTTGTGGTCTACTCTGAAATATTGGGTAGATGCTTCCGTTGAATCATTTGTCACTTTCAAAAAAAGAATGTATTTGGCAAAAAGTGAGCGAATATTGAACTAGGTAACCATTCACATATTTGGCAGAAATCACACGATTTAATAGTAAACTACATGAATAGTCTTTGTGGTTTACAGTGATATACACATTTGGTCCCTAATTTTTTTTTTCAACTCGAACCATCCTTGTGATTTAATTTTCTTTCGCCTTTGGTCCTAGGTCAACTTAAAAATGCTAAATTACCCTCACTGGAGTTAGGGATCAAATGTACATATTACCCCTAAACCATAGCACCATTCATGAAATTTACTCCATGGTTTTATAAGTAAGACATAGTAAAAATAATGAAAATTTTTATAATACCTACTACAGTTTAGATTTTTTCGGTTTAACCATTGTAGTTTAGATTTTTCTCAATTTAGGCATCGAAATTCATAATGATCCATATCCAAACCATTAATAAAAACGTAAACATGTATTGATCGTAAGCGAGTAAAAAAGTCAAACTTAAGATCCAAATCCGCATTATGATTACGGTCAAATTATGGTAAAAACTCGTTTCATTGCCTTATCTACCTTAGAATCGACTGTGGATGAGCATTTGGACCAGGGAACCAGCCGGAATCGATATCGAAACCAGAACGGGATAGAACCGATCGAGCCAGGACCGAGACAATATTCTTGTGGATTTTTTGAACCGGGAACCGGTGGAACCGGCAAAACGGAACCGTATGTTGCTATTTCTAAATTACAGAATCGATCGGACCGGGAAAGGACATATATTCTTGTGGATTTTTGGAACCGGGAACTGGTAGAAATTAGAATTGTATGTTGCTATTTCTCGAGGATCGATTCCAACATTGAAGACACGACAAGAACCGATAGGAACTGGAAGCTGTAGAACCGACGGTAGTGTTCGGTTTCTATTTTTCACCAAGTTCGGTTCCCGAACCGGTTCAGTCGGACCGGTTCCAATGCTCATCTCTAGAATGATCCATAAGTCCACCGATTCAACAAACAAATTTATTCTTTGTTTTGATTGAATGTGATTGGTTTGAACTTTTTTTTTTTTTTTTTCAAACTCGCATTTAGAGTTAGATTTGGTTTGTAAGATTGACCAGGAACCTAAAGATCATCCATTCGCTCATAACAATATTCAACATAGGGCCCATCACTCCTTTTCTAATAACCCAAATTTCCGTTAGATGGTGCAAAGGGTAGGTGCGGGAATTAGGGAAAGGTTTGGAGTTGGTGGGGGTTGTGGATTATTTTGATTTTTTTTTTTTTTTTTTTTTTTTTGATAATAAGAATAAGTAATAACAATATTAGTCAAATATTAATATTGATACCAGCCACATCGCTAAAAAGAACTTGTAAAATGTAAATATATAATTATAGATCAAAATAATTTAATTTAAAAAAAAGTACGTATTCATTAAAGCTGGATCGTTTAATTTGAAAATAATAATAATAATTAAAATAGCTACATAGATCATGAGTTTTTATGTAATTTGTCTGATTACGTATGAACATACTTTAGCTCATTAGAACATTGGGTGTCAGCACAAGATGCACCACCTCACATGTCACATAAGCAAATGATGTTATAACATTAAGTAGGGAAATTGACAACAAGATGTAACACCAATTTTTTTGAAAATAACTATGTTTTCTTTTTGAATTTGGTCTTTTTTTTCTTTTTCTTTTTGTTTTTTTTTTTCCTTTTTCATTCTTTTATCCTTTTTGGTTTTTTTCCTTTTTATGTTTTTTTAATCACTAAAATGAATATATTTTTATAAAATAGAAATTTTTTTAAAAAAAAAGATATAATATTTAAAATCTAAAATTACGATTACAATTACAGAAAAAACAAAAATTTAAACCTAAAATCATAACTAAAATACCATTCAAATTACTTCTAAAACCACACAACAATCCTAATTAATCCAAATATTTCTTCATAATTTGTTTCTTCATTGTTTGTAGCACCGCTAGATCCTCAGACATCAAACCCTCATCGCTCGTCCGAAGAATTACAACTGATGTGTCATTAATTCCCTCGTTTTTTTGCTCCTGCTTCTCCCGTGTCTGCCTTTCTAGGAACTCCAAATGACGACGTTCAAGTCATCTTTTTTTCTTTTATTAATAAATTGTGCTCGTCGAATTTCGCTTCCATTTCTGCCGCCTCTTTTGCTTTCGCCTCAACCTCCACTGCATGCCTTGCAGCACACATCGCTTTGTCGCGTTTGGCGGTCGTCATGGTGGGGATATCTCCTCGATATCATCCTGGATCTCATCGTTGTCGGCGTTTAGGTCGATGTGAGTCCGTGCATCCGACACGTCGACCGAGCTCGAATTGCGAGACCTTTTGGATTGAATCTCCGACGATGTAGGTGTTTTATTCCACCTTGGATCCGCTCGCAACAACTCCCATGATTTTTCAAAGTCGAAAACATGTCCTATTTTGATATGATATTGTTCCTTAGTAGATTTGAACAAATCGAAGTTGTTGGTTCCGCTTTGTTGTTGCTCCTCAAGCTGGTTGTAAATACCGTTGAATTTGTTGCACCGGTTAGTTATTTGATCCCATTTGCTGCTTAATATGTCATTGTTGCGGTACAGATTTTTCTTCAAAATAGCGTGAAACTTGTCGCGCACCGCCCTCCAATAAGCTCATTTCTTCATTCCATTTTCGCGGAGTTCGTCTTTTGAAGTAGCACACCAAGTCGTTGTCAAAGCATATTCCTCATCCGATGTCCATCATTGTGGAACGTCTGCATTTTCTGTTTCAACCGCTATCGATTTCCTTTTTGATTTTCCTTTTCCTTTCCCTCTCCAACTACCTTCCGCTTCCACTTCAACCGATGGTTGTGTTGTAAGTGATGGTTGGGTAGCTGTTTGTTGCATCGAAGCAAAAGTAGGGAAAAAATTTTGTTGTAAATTTTGTTGAAGGTAAGGTGAGTTGGGAAATTGCAGTGGTAATGAAGCGGGATTGAAAGCGGCGCTTTGGTATGTGATTTATGGTGATCCTTGAGACGATAAAAGATTGAAATAATTTTCATTACCCGCAAATCCGAGAGGCGAGATTATGTTTGGTTGTGTGTTTGGGTGTGATGATGAAGGAGGGGTGTTTAGGTTTAGATCCATTTTTTGATAAAAGAAAGTGTATAAAATATAACGATAATGATATATATATATATATATATATAATATATATATATATATATATATATATATATATATATATATATATATATATAAAAGAAGGTAAAAAAAATTAATTTTTTGAATATTAACCGTTTGCATCAACCAACATTCTATTTTTTTCCCGTTTCAATACGTCGTAATAGCCATAGGATTCGCATTGACAAGATGCAACGAGTAGGGGGCGGTGTTCCCCCATTATGACGGCCTTTCCGCCATCCACCTTAGCCTCGTCAATTCTCGTTGAGACCCATACCATCTCGTCTTAAAATTGCAAGATAGTTTTTTAACATTCCTTTAAAAAACTTATTACGTACCATTAGCAGGGCTATATCATATATGATCATATTTGAGTGATAAATATTATATAAAAGTGAGATTGATGGTAGAGTACTAGAGCGTCGAATTTAAAGGATTTGGGGTTCGTTTGATAGTTGTTGTTTGAGTTAGAATTAACTGGATTAGAAACTGACTGAGTTAGAAGTTTTGACTGAGTTAACTTCTAACTGAAACTTTTTGTTTGATTTTACATTCGACCGACTATGCAAAATGACTATATTACCGTCAAACAATATTTTTTTATAAAAACCTTCATAAGA